CCCACACATACCTCCATGTGCACAGGCACATCCACACACATCTACACACTCGCACACACTCATACACACACACACAATTTATGTGTACACACACACACACGCATACACACACACACACACTGACCTACTTATTTTCTGGAGTGACTGTACTCCCTAGTGTTAGAGGGTTTCCTGTAGACTATGTCATTAATCTTCACGATGTTTTAGGCTCTTAGTCACAGGTCGAATAAGTGGGAACTAAGAGAGCTGGCACTCACAGGAGGAGTGGGTTGTGGAACTGGAAGTTAACCCAGTGCACTACACTCCTGCGGAGTCTGTTGACAGCAGACAGAGACTCACAAATGCAGACGACGAGTCACAGGAAGGCTCATCGAGGCAAAAAGTCCACTGGGGAGAATATGCTTAGATGGGGTTTTTGAAAGAGCATTTGTTAAACTATGGACCTTCACTTGATGGAAGTCTTAGGCATCTGCTTTCATTGAAAGATGGAAGGATAGTTCTTGTGTTTAGACGGCTACTTCTCTGAAATACTCAGAACAATTTAAGCACTTGAAATCTCCCTCTGAAGATTTTGTTTTCATTACGAAGACACGAAGACATGGTTTTCTAAGTAAACCACCTAGTCTCTGGACAAAGTTTAAAAAATGATGAAATCAGTTAAATACAAATGAAAGTTGTATTGTCATCAAGGTATGGGTCTGAGTGAGAAGAGGTGGGTGTCGCCTGGTCTCCCCGCCTTGGTCCCACAGCTCCCTCCTCGGGGTGAGGGTGGGCAGGGATGGGCATGGCTGTCACCTTTCTCCCTTCTCTCCCTTCGAGTGCCCTTAGCGTAGCAGCAGTCAGTCCGTGTGTCAGCCCAGGTCTGAAGGTCCGCGCCGAGCACTGTCCACGCTCCACTTTGTCGGGAGAGCATCTGTCTGCCAGATGCCCCCGATCCTCATTCCTAGCAAGCTGCTGTGTGATGCCCCAGGAGAATAAAACACCAAAATCACTACAATCGGTGTCGGCTGGGCAGGTGCCTTCTGGAGGCCCAGGGAAGAATACATCTTCTGGCTTATCCAGCCCTGCCTTGAGGCCCTGCTTCAACACAGCCTCTGCTTCCATCATCGTGTGTCCTTCTCTGGCTCTGACCCCTCTTCTGCCCTCTTCTGAGGATCCTGAGATCCACTGGGCCCACCTGGATAATCCAGGATGACTTCCAAACTCAAGATCCTTAACTAAATCCCATCTACAAAGTCCCATTTGCCATGTGAGGTAACATATTCACAGGCCCTGGGGATTAGGACCTGGACACAGTGGGATTTAGAGCCGCACACTATTTCTTTGCTTGTAAACATACACTAGCTAATCTGCCTGGTGCCTCAGTTTCCCCCCGTTGTGAGGGCTAAATACAGTTGACCCTTGAACAACGAACTGTCGGGCTCCACTTGTCCATGAATTTTAAAACCCGTGTTGTTCAAGGGTCAACTCTATTTGCTACCTGTTGGGGCTCAGAACAGGACCTGGGATGTCACGGGTGCCCAGGTGAAGCTGGGCCAACCCACAGGGCACAGGCTTCCAGGAGGCAGGCCCAGTGCCCAGAATGCAGGAATTATTTTGGCTTTCCTTCTGAGGGTGAGCTGTAAGGAGGAGAGGTGCTGGGAAAAGGGCTATAAAGAGTCCTCTTCATGCTATAGGAATTAAAAAAAAATTTTTTTAAATCCTCACCTGAGGATATTGATTTGAGAGAGAGGGGGGGAAGAGAGAGAGAGAGAGAGAGAGAGAGAGAGAGAGAGATCAATTGGTACCCCCCCAACCCACACACACATGCCCTGACTGAATCAAACCCACAACCCTCTGGTACACTGGATAGTGCTCCAACCGAGTGAACCACCTGGCCAGGGCTGTAGAAAATTTTAAAGTGTAAAATTGAGCAATTTTCAGTAAATTTACAGTGTGTTATCATCACTATATCCATTTTAGAACACTCAAGAAGAGCCCATTGCAGTTACCTCTCTCCCACCTCCAGCCTCCCGCATTCACTGACCTACTTTGTACACATCTGCTTTTTCTGGACATTTCTTATAAATGGATTTTTTTTATTTGCATCTGTATTCTTTCACTTAGCATGCTTCTGAGGTTTATTGTAGTAGCATTCATCAGCACTTTGTTCCTTTTTATCACCAAACAAGAATCTATTGTATAGATTTACCAGATTTTGTTTTTCCATTTGTCACTGGATGACATTTGGGTTGTTTCCACCTTTTGTTGTGAATAATGCTGCTGTGAACATTCATGTATAAGTTTTTGTATAGACACATTTTCATTTCTCTTGGGTATTGCTAGGAGAGGAATTGCAGGGCCCTGTCATCACTCTGTGTTTAACTTTTTAATACCCTGCCAAACTGTTTCCCGAAGTGGCTGCACTAGTTTGCATTTCCACCGGCAATGTAAGAGGGTTCCAATTTCTCCACATCCTTCCTAATACTTGTTGCCATCTTTTTTATTATCGCCATCCTAGTGGGTGGGAAGTGGTATTTTGTCAATTAATTTGCATTTCCCTGATGGCTAATGATGTTAAACTTTTTTTATATGCTTGTGGATCATTTGTCTTCTTTGGTGATATATCTGTTCAAATCTTTTGCCCGTTTTTCAATTGAACTACTTACCTGCTTCTTATTGTGCTGTAAAAGTTTTTTTAAAAAATGTATTCTGGATACAAGTTTTATATCAGATACATGATTTTCTCCTAGTCTTTCTTTGAAGTTTCGTAATAGTGTATTTTAAAGCACAATATTTTTAATTTTGATGAAGTTTGGCTTACTGATATTTTTTCTCTTAGAAATTGTTTTGATGTAATATCTAAAAATGTTTTGCCCTCCTCTAGGTTACAAAGATTTATTTCTGTATAGTTATAGTTTTAGTTGTTACCATTTTAGCCCTTTGTGATTACTTCGAGTTAATTTTTTTTTGCATGGTGTGAGGTAGGGATCTGCCTGTCCCTGGGCCAGGACCACACTGTTTTGATTACTGTCACTTTGCAGTAAATTTTGAAACCTGGAACTGTGAGTCCTCCACCTCTGCTCTTCTTTCTCAAGCATGTGCTGGCCAACGTGGGTCCTTTGTCTTTCTAGCTGGAAGGATTGGCACACTGGTTGGTTTCTGGGTTTCTGACAAGGGCTGTCAGACCTGCTGGTTTCCCTGCCTCTCTCAGCCTTTCCTCCTCACTGACTCTCTTGCCCTGACTCAGTGTATTTGGGTCCAGTCATGGACCGTGCCCGCTGTGGGTCCATTTGGGATCCCAGACTTGTCCTTCTCCCTCCTTGCCTACTGCTTTCCTCTCCTGTACTCTGCGCCACATCCCTTCTGTCCCTTCTGAACCGGGTTTCACTTTCCCATCATGCCTTACTTCTGTGATGGCTTATTTGTTTCTTCCCCTTCTCCCTGCGATGACCCTGGAGCTCCTCAAGGCTCCAACTCTTTGTGCTCATGACCTTCAAATAATGGCGTGTCATGCCGTCAAAAATTCTGTATTTTATGGAATCTGTGACATTTGTCAATTATGGGATGTACCATCATTTTATGTACACTAAAAAAAACAACGCTAATTAATCTATGAAACAGTTTTTTCTGACATTGATTGTAGGATACATTCTGATTTCAGAGGTGCTGAACTTGAGAAAATACAGCCCTGGAGCTCTCTTAGTTGGGAACTGATTCCCCCCTCCTTCCCTTTCTTTCCTATTGTCATGTCTGTGTCACTCACAGTAAACTTTCACTAGGAGACACTCATGGTATGAAGTCTTTCCATCTCTCTTTTCATACTTGGTCAGCAGCCTACATCCCTCTTTCTCCTAACAAAATGAAGCACACTGTTTTAGTTCTTACTTGACCTACTCCATGTTTCCTATGCTGGACCTTAGCCATGAGCGCGCATGAAAGTGGAATCATGCCCGATTCCAAGGTAGTTGTAGGTGTGTGTGCTGAAGTAACTGTTCCATTTCCTACCCGGTGGATGCAGGTGTGGTGGGGCCGTGCACATTCACTGTGGCTTTCATGAACCAGTGTCTGCTAACCTCTGTGCGCCCGGCTAGGACTGCCCAGGGGTTCCGGCCCTTCAATTAGAATTTTAGTTTATTTTGAGTCTCCACCTGTGGGTGAATGAGCCTCAGGGTCTGTGTGGACAGTTGGCTGTGGTGGGTAAGGCTCCCCTCCCCGGTGAGAGGTGTGGATGGTGGCCTGGTCGGAATTTAACCCCGACTCCTGGAGAAAGGGGAGCACTCTGTACCATCTGAACGCTGGGTGAGGCCTGCCACCTGCCACCCTATACCCTCAAGATGCAGCCCAGGAGCATTTGTGCTAAAGCTGGACACACACAATAGACATAGTTTTGTTAATGCCACGATCTGTGTCGAGCTCTCTGGTTTCCTTGAGCTGTCGCCAAACCAGCACAGCGATTCATTCATTTGACGCAGCGATTTTCAACCAGGGCGCCACAGGAATTTTTAAAACATGCAATACCTGACTGTTAGTCAGGGCACTGACATCTTTTTCCTTATGTTGTCAAATTAAAAAGTGATAACAGTCAACACAACAATAGCTGTCTGGTATGAATGAATCAAAATTATACCTATTTTTTTGTCAAGTCAGCAAAAACTATATATTTTGGTGTTCCGCAGAATTTTAGTTATTAGTTTACTCGGGCCACGAGATGAAAAAGGTTGAAAAACGCTGATTTAACTTGACATGCCTTTAGTGCTGGGGCCACATCTTTGAAGATTTTTACAGCCTGTTCACTCTTAAGTTCATTTATATCCCAGTTAAGAAATTGCAATTTCATGTCTTACAAGCAAAACGCGGAATGGCGTGTTTGTGGTGCTTAAAAATGAGTGCACGTGTGTGCCCCGGGTCGGTGCTTAGTCTGCGCCCCCCCCCCCCCCCCCCCGATGTCCACGCCACGACTGAGGACGAGGCCATCACCTCACAGAATCTAATGGTGCTTGTTCTGTTTCTTTGTCCAGCCCCTTCTATGGAGAAGACTTCTACTGTGAAATCCCTCGGAGTTTTCGTCACCTGTCATTTTACATCTTCGATAGAGACGTTTTCCGGAGGGACTCCATCATAGGTAGGTACTTCAGTGGGTGTCGCATTCTGGTGTAAGTGGATGTCTCTTCCAGGCATCCTGTCTGAGACAGCAGAGGCGAGCGGCGTTTTCAGCCTGGCCTTCCTGGCTGTGTTCACAGTGGCAGGAAGCAGCCTGGGCAGCCTTCTAGCCTGGCTGTGGCATCCCCCAGGGCTGGGACAGGTCGCTGAGTCCCAGCCTGGCAGCCTGTGGAGGGATTTCACAGCATAAGATCGCGTGGGAGAGACCAGCACACGCCAGCAAAGCCTTGGGAGCTGTCCTTTAAGATGAGGATACAGCAGCCTCCAACCTTCTTCAAATGACTCCCGAGGGCTCCTCCAGGGGGCTGTGTGCAGGGGAGAACCTCTACCCCCATCCCCAGGCCACCCCTGTTCCTGACTCTAACACCCTCCATAGGCAGTCAGATGGTATTGGGTGCTCTTAGAAGCACTGGGGTGCTCTTAGAGCTATTGGGGTATTCTCAGACATATTGGGGCTCTCTCAGGTATTGGATGTTCTCAGAGGCATTGGGGTGATCTTATAGGTATTGGGGACCTTCACAGAGGCATTGGGACGCTTTCAGAGGTATTGGGGTATTTTCAGAAGTATTGTGGTGTCCTTAGACATATTGGGGCTCTCAGAGGTATTGAGTTCCTCTCAGAGGTACTGGAGTGTTTTCAGAGGTATTAGGGTGCTCTCAGTATTGGGGGTTGTTCTCAGAGAGATATTGGGGTATGCTCAGAACCATTGGGGTGCTCTCAGGAATGTGGGTTATTAGCGGCATTAGGGTGCTCTTGGAGGTATTAGGGTGTGCTCAGAGGCACTAACATTTCAGTGGGGGACTCCTAGGGAGAGTGAGGCCCAACCTGAATGTGGAGGACAGGTGTGGAATAGCATAGAAGCTTCCCGAGTTCAGTAGTGCACCTGTGTTCCTATTCATGTTTACTGTGGCCCCAAAAATAGAATCGAGAAGCCAAACATGAGCACGACTGTAGTTGCTGGAATCCAAGCACCATGTAACGTCCGTGTGGTGGCCTTGGCCTTTCCTGGGAGAGAGGCTCTTGGGTAGAGCACTTGGCATTTGAAATGCACTTGAGTCACGCAGACAGTTGATCACCTTTCCTCTGGATCAGGCTTGGGGTTCCAAATGGTTCCTACTCACTGCCCAGACCTCTTGAGCAGGTCACCCACATAGCCAGTAGGGATGTTTCATCCAGGCCGCAGCAGCCTCCCAGCAGCACGCAGGACAGTTGGCCGCCTTCCACGCAGCTCTTGCTCAGCCTCTGGCCTCACCCCCTCTGGCTTTTACTCCCAGCCTGCTGGGCTTCTATGCTGCCTCCTTAGTTCTCAGCCTGTGGGTCCAGCTGCCCTGCAGGATCCCTGTGGTGTCTCAAGGCATCTCGTATGTATCATGCTGAACTCAGAGTGGCCACCAAAGGTTCCTCATTGCTGATTAAACCCTGTATCTGCTGCTTCCTCACCCTCCTAGCTGCGCTGCCAAGACTTGGAGCTCAGTTCCTGCAGGTGCTGCCACATTATGCTACACCAAGCATGTCAAACTCAAAGGCTAACACGGTCCAAATAAACGAGGTATGCAGCTCGCGGGCCGCGAGTTTGACATGCTTGCCCTACGACCTTTCGCCTGCTTGGACTGTAGCCTGCATGGCCTCAGAGTTTGCCCCACGAGAAGATAAGACACTCCTTCCTTCACTCCACGGCCTTTTCTTCGGATGGGCCGTGAGCATCTGCTCCCAGTTAAAGCTGACCACTGATATCCCACTGTACTTACGGAAAAGCTCAAAACATGGCTAGGGCCCAGAAGTGACTCCATCGTGTCTGTCCCCAACATCTGGCTTTGGCTTGGGAGGCAGTCACTAAACATTTGTGAAAAGAATGGACAACTTTTGAAAATACCTCAACGCATTCCATTTATTCCATTTTAGAAATTCAATCTGTTTTATAGATAGTTTCCCATCTGAAGAAACTCTTTTCTGGAGGTTCACACTTCCATTTTAGAGCCTGATTTATTTTTTAAAATATTGCCAGGTTTGAGGCCACACTGCCTGATTTGGCCTGGAGAAGGAAGTCCACACTCCCCAGCATGCAGTCAAGACCTTTCATAATCTGACCAAATTGTTCTCTGGGCTTAGCTTCTCAATGGCCTTTCTAGCCATTTCAACATAAGCACACGTGTGCATTCACCCCACTTGTGCCCCTGTGCAGGCCTCTACCCTCTTAACACTAGAAACTTTTAAAATATATCTCAGTTTTCTGAAATCTGACTAGTCCCACAAGCAGCATGCTCCTCCTTTGCTACTGGGGAGTATGTTAAAATCCAGGTACCCAGGCTCCCACTCATGCTGGTGGATCCAGATGGTCCAGGGGCTGAACCTAGAATTCCACAGTTTTATTAAGTTCCTCAGGGTGACATTTACAGTTAGAAGGAAACTAACATGTGCTGAATGCTTATATATGCCAGGCATAAAAGCATGCCATTTATCCTTTGTATTAGCCCCAGGAAGTAGCTATCCCCTCTATTTGCTATATCAAGAAGAAACTGAGGCTCAGAGAAGACAAGACACTTGTCTGAAGATGCACAGCTGACGGGTGGTGAGCCAACAAGTCAGACATTTCCTGTCATATTGTAGAGAAGTGAGTACCAGTGTTGGCAGAGACTGGGGAGGAGAAAGGTGTCTACACCTGCTTAGTCATCCCATGAAGTCATCTCCCTCCCTAACGACCCGTCAGTGGGTGCTGCCTGTCCCCAGAACTTGCTCTCACTCTGAATCTAATTCATCCTGCCTGATGTGAGAGAGGTGGCTTCCCAGAATTCAATCTGAACCTTTCATATTTTAATCAAGCATTTGGGTAGCATTTAGATGTATGCTTTCTCTGGGACTCTGACGATGCGCAAGTGTGAGAGCGTTTCTAAACCTAAGTGATCTGGACTGACTAGAGCAGTGGTTCTCAACCTTCCTAATGCCGTGACCCTTTAATACAGTTCCTCATGTTGTGGTGACCCCCAACCATAAAATTATTCTCATTGCTACTTCATAACTGTAATTTTGTTACTGTTATGAATTGTAATGTAAATATCTGATATGCAGGATGTATTTAGGCGACCCCTGTGAAAGGGTCGTTTGACCCCCAAAGGGGTCGCGACCCACAGGTTGAGAACCGCTGGACTAGAGGAAGGGAAAGCAGTAGTCACCTTCTCTGCCGGAATCGCCAGATCTGCGGGGTCTACAGCAGATGCGGGGCTGGAGAAAGTGACACACATCCTGCTGCTCTGCTCTCCAGTTGTTCCATGACCGGCAGAGAGGGGATGTACCTTAGTACCCCCTCCTCTCCCTCCCCTCTCCCACACCCACCTACATCCCCTCCCTCTCCTCCCTTTCCAATCTCATGCCCCATCATTTCCTTCTCTTCTTCACCCTGTTTTCCTTTTTAGGATCTTGGTCCACATGTGAATTTCTCCTTAGGCCATGCGTGTGGCTTATTTCCTACCCTGAGTCATCTCCATGAGCCATCACAACGCCTCTTACTTGGTCTATTAAAGTTGGGCAAATAAGGCTTCCAAGGCAGTACAAACTTAGGGCTTAGCAAAGAAACAGGTGGGGCAGTGGGGAGCCTTTACACAGAAGCAGGACGTGTCGATGCTTGCTTTATTTAGGCTAGGGTGGCTTAGTTCAATAATAAAACTTTATGAAAGCTTTATCAAGCATTCATGTGTTGAGACTTAAGTGAACTCTTGCTTATACTAAAAATGTGTCGCATACATGTAGATAGAGAAGAGTGTCTGACCCTAGGAAGTTAAACCCAGCTATCCAACATTAATGAGCCATCTGGTGTGTCAGTGAGCTGCACTTTTGTTGTCATTTCTTCCACCTTTCATACTCTCACTCTGGAAGAATGGTAAGTGCTGCCTGTTTATTTTGGAACTATCTGGCAGGAATTCATATTGTAGGAAAGGAGGAGAGATGTAAAGTGAAGTATCTGGTGCATATCTGTTCTAATCATGTATATAAAAATACTTAGCACTTACTATGTGTAGGTATTGTTCTAGGTGCTTTACAAATATTGACTCATTTAATATTCATAACTCTGTGAAGTAGGTGCATTTTCAGATGAGGAAACTGGTACAGACTAGTCACACGGCTTTTGGGTGGTGTTCAGACCTCGGCAGCCAGGTTCCCAAGTCTGTGCTACTGAGCTCTTGACCTTATTTCAGATTATGCTTCATTGTCTGTATTTAGAGGCAATAGTTGATTGAATGTGAAGCCTGATGCGGGGCGGGTAGGGGAGGAGAAGTCCAGGGTGACTTCTGGTTATGGGTTTACAACGCCAGGTGGATGGTGGGTGGTGGGACATAGATGGGGCTGGAAAATGGTAGATGGTGGTCGTGGTGGTGGTGGTGGTGGAAGGTGGGTGGGAGATGGGGATGGTGATGGCAGAAGGATGAGTTATTCATAGCAGAACAAAACATCATCTTCCATGACCCACTACTACCATCCCCTCCAGTGAGCTGCAGTTTGCTATCACCTTCCTCCATCCTCCTCTCATTATGTACCAACTATCCAACATTCATCATTCATCCTCTGTCCTGTACGACTCTCCACTCACCACCTACCATTTGCCATCCACCATCACCATTCCACCACCTTTCACTCATCACCTACCATCTACAATCTACTACCACCCATCATCCACCATCACCATTCATCCATCATGTGCTATCTTCCACCATCACCATCCACCACTCTTTACCCATCATGTATTATTCACCACCTGCCATCGATCATTTGTCTATCTTCTACCACTCTCCATCCGTGACTTATTACCTACCATCTATAACCATCCATTACCTACCATTTATCATCACCACCACCACTCCCCCCATCACCATCCACCGTCCACCATCACTATTCACCCTCTTCCATCATCCACCATTACTGTCTATCACTCTCTACTCATCTATACTGGCTACCTTCCACCACCACCCA